CCCTTATATGTAATTCTGCCTATTACTTTTCTTCTCACATACATCAATATCATGACTTATTTTTTTTACATTTTCAACATATGATTTGATCTGATAATGACATAAATAAGGGTGCATATAACAACATCTGACAATCGTGGATTTAGTACCATTAAATCAAGGACTATTTTTGCCTTTTTGCTATTATTTTTTGTCTTTTTCCTATAAAAAAAAGTAAAATTTTGTGTACACACACACACACATATATATATATATATATATATATTATGATAATCAAATGAAAACCACAAATATGTTACGTTCGTGAGAATTGATATAAAAATATTTTTTTACATTATTTCTTTTCATTAAAATCTATTATTTAAGATATTGTTTTAGATATATTTGTGTTCATCTTGAGAAAGATTATATGTGAAGAAAAAAAAATTGGTTGACCTAGTGAAATGAAAAATAAGCATTAAAAAATATTCACATGGTGAAACGAAATACATGTACAAACTATTATATTATGAAACAAATATGTGTGAAGCAATATCTTAAATCCTATAATTTCATGAATAAATATCATTACAAAAGATATTTTTGTATCAATTCTCAAGAGTTTGTAACAGATTTGTGGTTCTCATTTGATTTAACCCCTATATATAGGGTTGAGTTCCGTTGAGAATGAGAGTTAATGTAAGAAACGAAAGAAATGATCTCCACCTTGGTCGGATCAATCTCCGTATCAAGCGTAATTCATGGATGTTTTTTAGAGAAAAGTGAATCACACGGGTTCACATATAAACATATAGTTCATATGTGAATCACATAAGTTCACTTATGAACCCGTTTGCCGCATATTTGTAAAAGTTATTAAACTACCCCCTCTATTTTTCATATAGTCGCAAATTTTGACCAGTCAAAGACAAAATTCTTAACCAGTCAAATTCGATCTTGACCATTTGAAAAGATATGATCACTTCTTTACCTTTTCAAATATTTATCACTTCTCAAAATAATCTACGGATACATATATATATATATATATATATATATATTAAATGTATTATAATAATATATAATATTATATTTATTAAACTGAAAATTAAAGAAAATTATGAAAGGCCCAAAACTTCCCTCGGTTGATAAACGTTTTTAATAAAAATTAGTCAGAGAGACCGAAATAAAAATAAAAATGTCGATCATAATGACCGAAAACGAAATAAAATGGTAATCATAATGATCGAAAACGAAATAAAATGGTGATCATAATGACCGAAAATGAAATAAAATGATGATCATAATAATTAAAAGTGTACTTAGTTTGAAATGAAGATTATAGTTGATAATCAATGACAACTATAAGCACAAAAAATGTTATTTTTATTTTTGACGACTAAATATATAGAAAAAATAATGATAATATAAAGAATTTCATAAAATTAATAGTAATTTTAAATAATCAATAATTAGTATTATGAATAATTTACATTTAGAATTAATTAATAGTGTGAAATTAATATTAATTAGTAATTATAATTGATTAATAAATTGAAATTAATTATTAATTATAATTAATTAATAGGTATAATTAATTAATATTTAATTAATAACTATAATTGATAAATAAATTGAATGATAATAATTTATAATTTATAATTAAGATTTGTTAATAATCAATAATAATAAATAACAATTAATATTAATGAGAGTGTAATTGAAAAAAGTGTCAATAAACTAATAAAATCTACAACCAGCGTTTCAATAAGTTAGTTCATAAGCTAGTCTATCATTTAAATATGTATACAAAAAATAAGCTAGCTTATGTCTGATAAATAATGTCTAAATGATAAATAATAAGTTTTTCTAGATGAAAACATAAAAGAAAAATTGCACCAAAATGGAACCAACATTCACCTTATTTCTATTTTGGAGAACCAACTTGTAAAATTGTCATTTAGGGGTCTCTATCAAACTTTTTATTTATTTAAGGGTCTGATTGACCTGTTGATCTGTTAATGCTGACATCATCCAAATCTTTTGTCAACTAAGATATTTCACGTCATATTAATTTTTTATTTTAAAACTAATATTTCATTTCTTATTTAAAATTACAAAATAATTATAGAAAAATAACTAAAATTCGTTTTTTTATGAAAATTATTGTAATAAAATTAAAAAAAAATCAGATATCAAATTGAAGATTTTTTTTTCAAAAATGGACTTCTTTACTCACAATTTGATATTTGAATTTTAAAAAAAAACGAGATTTGGAATGAAAAATAGATTTTATAACAATAATTTTTGAAAAAAAAAACAAATTTTAGTTATTTTTCTATAATTATTTTGCAATTTTAAATATGATGTGGAATATTAGTTTTAAAATAAAAAATTAATATGACATGGAATATTAGTTTTAAAATAAAAAACTAATATGACGTGAAATATCTTAGTTGACAAAAGATCTGAATGATGTCAGCAGTAACAGGTTAACATGACCCTTAAATAAACAAAAAGTTTGATAGAAATCCCTAAATGACAATTTTAAAAGTTGGTTCTCCAAAATAGGAATCAGGTGAAAGTTGGTTCCATTTTGGTGCAATTTTCCCAAACATAAACATTAAAACTTCAAGGTTTTATATCTTAAGGTTTGAGTTTCAGTTAGAAGGAAAGTTAATCATGTGTTGAACGCAATAGGCATAAGAATGAATCTCCACTCTTGGACTGATATTAGGATTAGATGCACTCGATTAATCTTGTATTGAACGCGATTCATGAGTGTGTTTAAGATTAAAGGTGATGAAGGGTCCAGATCCCTTCTTACGCTTATTACATTAACTCTCATTCTCACATGATCATTTGTCTATATAAATAAATATTGTTTATCGAAAATAAAAAACCAGAATTATATATTTTGTAAAATAATATTTTATTTATATGTGTGGGATCAAATTCAGATATTCAAAATATCAAAACTATTATTACGTGTAGCTTTCCACACAACTATGGATGGAGATACCACACCACCTATTCAATAAAACAATTCCTTTTAATTTCAATTATTTAGATTTAAATAATAATTGAGAAAATTATTTAATTTATATGTAAGACAAAATATTATATTTATTTTACTTGGTGTAATTCAGTTACTGGTTTAGAGTAAAAACCCTAACTGAATTACAAATATTAAAAATATATAACAGTACAAAAAGAGAACCAAATCAGTTATATCTTGTATCTTATTAATCGTATAAAACGTCTTTTTCATATAAACCAAATAAACTTTATATTATATCATATATTTATTTTGATTAATGTTTATGGGTGAAGAGGCCCTCTCTAAGTGGCCTACCCTATTCTTTCACCTCTTTAATAACCAAAGATTCTTTCTTTCAAATAACTCACAATCAACATGAGAAGGGTCAAGAATCTTACCGGGTAAGAGCGATGTAAATGATAAAGAATTTTACCCGGTAAGTGAGGATAACGACTCTTACCCAGGTAAACGTTTACCCATTAAATTGTTGCATTCGATATGTTCTAATATACTAAAATCTTACGCATCAAAATAAATCACGGTGTTGACTTCTATCGGTAAGTGCTTACCGGATAAGCAATTGAGTAAACGACCCCTTACATTTAGTGTGACATTAAAACTAGAATAGGACTGAGTCAGACAAAAGTGTGTTTGTTTTTTACCCTCCAAAATAGGTGGAGGAATTATAAATAACAAATGTGCTAAATAACAAATGTGCTAAATTGAACGACTCTTTCATCTGCACACCTTACTCTCCCTTGTCATGTCATGTTTTGTCTACGTATCAAAGCACCCTTAGGTGGCGTTTAGTATGCATTCATGATTAGACAGGACATAAGTGGAGATGACTGGACAAGACAAGAGAGTAGGACTAGACTAGACAGGACAGAACAAATGTTTGTCTGGTATTTGGTACGACTAGGATTGGACAGGACAGAACTAGACAAGTTACCGACAAAATTATTTGATGATTTTATATGTCATATAATAGTTATAATTAACACAAATAAAGTAAATAATTAAATAATTTTAATTTATAAACATATTTATACAGTTTTCATATACATAGATAATAGTACCAAATTTGAGTGACAATTTTGATATAATTTATGGTAGTTTGAAAAACCCCGATTTATACAAAGTAGAAATTATGTTTCATTCGGTTTGGAAGATCCTTATCAATTGATAAAGGCACGGTAAAGATTGTCGCAACAACAATGTTTGAGGAGGTAGATGCATCGGTGATTCGTGAACGATGGTGGTTGTGGAGGACGTGAAGATAGTGGATAATGGTAGCGATCGACAGTGGTGGAGGTAGTGGTAGCCAATGATAGCGGTGGATGTGGTGTTGGTTATGGTAGAGGTGGAGGTGGTGGTAGCCCGACGGTACCAGTGACGATGGAGATGAACGACGGTAATCGGTGGTCGACGGTGATTGTGGAGGTGGTGGAGGAGGTTGTTATAGTTGGCCGGCAGGTTACAGGTGGTGGCAGCAGTTGCGACTAGCGGTGGTGACCACTAAAACAAATACCATATTAATATTATATATCAAACGAGGGTAATTGGTAATATTTTAGTTTCTGTCTCATTCTGGACCCACCTTATTCCACCTATTCTGGTGGAACAAGAAAACTTTTTTAATCCCTATTCCATGTGGCACCAAATGTAAAACAATGAGTTCTTGTCCCACGTCGAGCCAAATGTGCGACAGTGAGTTTTGTCCTGTCATGTTCTATCCTATCCGAAATGCAGTCCTAGTGTGTTCGGTACTTGGACAAAACGGCACAAAACATGACATGTTAGCCGCTCAGAGTATGGCAAGACATGACTAGTAAAATGACTAATTTATCCCTAGAGGCTTTCTTTTTTTATCCAGCATTGATCCCTATTTGTACCAAACCCAGCCTAAACAAGATAAGATCACCAACCCACTGACAATGATCCTCTAACAGCATGCTGATTCATTTAAACCTACCAAGATGAAAACAACAATGGAACAGTATTCATTAGTGAATGGAGTCGAAGAAAGAGTGAAATCTCTTGAGTTTTTTACTTGGAAAACAGTATAACATCAACAACAATCAATCTCCCTCTTGTAGTAACAAAGGAACAATTAAAAGACATTGCCATTTGCTTTTTTAACCCATTCTTCTAATGTTAAATTTTTCTTCATTCATTCTTTTTTTTTCCTTCTATTCACAAGCTAATTTGGTGTCAAAGCTGCTTAAACAGATAGCAAAAGCTTGAAATGCAGATAAAGGGTACCGGTAATCCATCGTGAACATATCTTTTCCCACTTTTCCAAACTGTAAGATCACTTTATCATGCTCCGGTTGGGCTGGCTGAGAAGTTCCGGCAGATGATGATGGTGGTGCTGGCACTGCCGTAGTTGCTGCAACTGGCTGTTGGGCGGCGATCAGCTGAAAGTTCTTGACAGAGGCAATTGTCACACGTCCCCTGAAATTCAAACACCAACATTGGAGCTGTTCATGCCACCTAGGTGCCTTGTTTTTCAGGACCAAGGGCATTTTTGACTTTTCACTATCTGGGATATCATTTGATAGGGCGGCACCAACGATTTCAGAAAACCGAGAGCTACTGAAATCGGTGGAATGGTCGAGCGACTTGGAGAAGGAAATGCTGCGAAAAGAGTCCTCAAGGGAGCGGGGAGGATGGAGGACCTCAGGCTGACCTGGCACAAAACCACCTGGCTCGAGTGCGGAGGTGGGAATCGAGTGCATGATGCAGTGCATCCTACGTGGGCCCCGCGTACCGAGCACGTTGAGCTCGTACGTGATATGGGCAATGCTGTAGCTTCCGTTAGGCACTTTCGGTGAGACTTTCTTGGAATAAAACCTTCGGCTCGATCGACCTGGTGCCGGGATAAGGGCGCCAGAATGTGGAGGTTGCGTGTCATATATAATGAACTTTGTTCCAAGAAAATTAGATCTGAAACACGAGCAACAGAAGACGTTCAGTAACAGGATTTTCAACCTAAAGACTGAAAAACAGGAGAACAAGGGAATTTGAATCTAAGCAAGTTATATACCTGAGTTTGCCAATATAAGTGCTGCTTGATCTTGAAATGTTATCAGCATTCATGGAGATCACATACTCGGTGCAAGTGGTTCTCCGAGTTCTTTTAGCAGAAAGCAAGAACTTCCCATTCTCAACCAGCAAAGCTGCTGCACAACCAAATTTAAACATAAAGATTTATAAATATCAGAGTATGTATTTGGTAACACCATCCAGTGGCATTCGTACACTCTGTATAACAAGAAAACAAAACCACTGAATTCGGACCAAAAATAGAGCAGAGGAGCAATTTCGAAATGCTCACCTGGGCTAAGACACAAGAAAAGATGATACGTCAAGTTGGATTTATCCCTCTTGATAAAACATTGAATAGTACTGTCACGTGGTCCCGGCTGAAAGCATAATGAAATGAATAACTATTACAACTATTTAATAGTTTATACGTAAAGATAGAAACCAACCAAACCATATCGACCCGGTAAATCCCACTTGAAAGTAGGGTCTAGAACGCTGAGATGTACGCAAACCTTGCCTCTACCTCGAAGTGAGTAGAAAGTAGGGTATGGGGAGGATCATATGTATGCAGACCTAACCTCTACCACCAGGCAGAAAGTAGGGTCTGGACACAGACCTGGCCCCTACCCCAAATCTGACCACTACCCAAAAAGGATAGGAAGTAGGGTACGGGAGGGTCAGATACGCAGATCTAACCTCTATCAAAGTAGGGTATGGAGTGGGTCAGATGTACAGAGACCTAACCTCTACCATAACATAATCTAAAAGTAGGGCTTGGGGTGGGACGGATGTAAGAAGATCTGGCCTCTACCCCAACTAGGTAGAATGTAGGGTCTAGGGAAGGTCTGATGTACACAGACTTGGCCACTACCTAAGAGGTAGAGCGGTTGTTTCCATGAAGACCAAGGCCACCAGCTTGTGCAAGAGTGTGATCAAACAGATTTATGTGTAAAGACAGAAAAAGATGGTACATACCTGCTTCAGGGAAATAGGAAAAGTAAGCTTCCCACAGGATTCAGGAGTTGTAACAATTTCCTTACACATACTCCTCCAAGACTTGCAAACAGCAGCACAAGCAACCACATGTTTTCTGGCAGGCCAACTGCTTTCACTCTCTTCTAACCTCTTTATCACATCACAAAGGAGCTCTGGAGGTAGATTGGCCCACCGACTATTTTGGATTACTAGAGATGCAGGATTGTCGCTTAAATCATTCACCGAACCCTGAGATTTTCCTCTTCTATGAAGCCCCGACAGCCTCACATCAAAACTACGCCTTGATAAGCTCCCAAATCCATCTCTCACATCACGAACTATACTACGGAACGACATTTAGAAACACGAAACAAAATAGAACCTCTGAAAATGGAGATCACAAAATTCTTGACATTTGAATCTGACTGCAAAACAATTAAAAGTTTGGGAATCAGATTTTAGTAAGAGGGGATCAAGAGCATACAAGTGCAAGTGGAATAAAGAAAGTGGAGAAAGGAAAAGAGAAGCAGAAAAGACAGCTTCACATGGCCTTAAAGAAGACTAATAAGTTGCATACCTTTATCAGGGACTACCTTTTTCCCATTTTTAAAACATACTTTCAGGTTTCAATCTAAAGCTAATCCGATTTATGAAACTAATCAGCTAAAGAATCCTAAGAACTAATGTACCCAGCCTTCAACGGGCCAAAGTGAAGGTGTAGTGATCGAAGCCTCCACGTTTTAGGTGTTTCACTTTGCAAAGTTTCGAGTTGTCCCTTTTTGAACTTATCTCAAAAAAATGGCAAATATGACAGAAGAAAACAAGAAATAACATCTTCCAATCACATGGTTATATGAGTTATACTCCTCTGATGTTGACATAAATTTCAAGAATTTAAGAATGTAAACTTAAGAATCGGTCAAATTTCCCCCATCAGGAATCTTGAAAATCAGTTTCCTTTCTTGGTTATATTTACTTAACCATGTTTCATCAAATAAGCAGCAACCATTAGCAGGTTCTTCATAGCATCTAAACTAGATTCTCATCTTAGAAAGAATGTGAACTCAAGAGAAAAAGAAACAAAGAAAGAGGAAAAACTAACCTGATGATGATAAGCTAAAACTGCATCAAGTCAGCACTTATGAATTGCAACCAAGATCTGAAGAACCCATGTCCGAATCAAAGCAAAATGTTAACCCAAGCATAAAACCCATCAAATCAAAGCCACAAACTTTGCCTGTAAGACAATATAAATGTATATTAGAAAAGGGGGGGGGCAATTTTGGTTTTTTTTTATGTCTTTCTTGAGTTATTAGATCCTAGAAAATTCGCCAACACGACATGAAAGTGCAAGATTCAATATCGAAAGAACCCATATAGGATACATACAGTAAATAACGACCAAAAATACGAGCAAATAATGGAAGATCAGAGATCCATACGACTATACCTTGAAAGAAAAGTAAATCTTGAAACTCTTGAGGAATTTGATGTGTGGGTCTATAAGAAAATCTTCTGTGAGGACTTTCTACAAACAGGTGGAAGAATCAGACTCAAAAAGGGAAGTTGAGTCAGACCAAGAACCACATATCCTTCCCTCCCCTGAAAACCCTCATGGGACTTAAAACCAACATTAAATCTAGCTCAACTAACAAGGGGAACAAGGGGGAAAAGTAAGAAAAAAGTCTATGGATATTAAATATTGGTTTTTTAAAACTTAATTTGAAATAATCAATGACTGCTACATATATAGCAAATTCGATCAAAACACGTATGTAGGCTTATGAAATCATAAACAAATAAGCGTTTCTTCTTGGCAGTTTCTTGAGGAAGAAGACCAGAGGTCGGTTGGTGTGTTATTTGGCCATTTCCTTGCTTCAACGGGTACTTTCCATGACGTCCAACAATCAACGGGAAGAATTGAATGCACCCCACATATATAAATATATTGCCCTGTATGTATATATTTGTATGTACTAGTTGTGTAACCGTGCAATGCGGCGGGAGCGATGAATTTTAACGATTTTGAAGTTCCACTGGTTTTATAAGATAAGATTTAACGATGATATAAGTTACACTTGGTCTTTACATATTAATACAATTTGAATAAATAAGAGTTATGGTTCCAATTACAGACTATCGATCACAAAAATTGTATAACAATTTAAAATCCAATATATTTAAAATCCAACATATTTAAACGACTCCACAAATATATTCGATTTACACCAAAAGCAAAGAACCAAAAAACTTGAGTTTTAAGATAAACACTCAAAAACAATAAGAAAAACTACAAATTTGACAGATCATAAGTCATTAAAAGACAAAAAAAAGATGAATTTTAGAATGAAATTTCAACTGCTTATCCTCTTTCTTGTCAAGAAACTCAGATTAATGTTGAATTAATACATGTATGTATGTATGTATGTATGTATGTATGTATGTATATATATTTCAAAAAAACCCAAGAACATATTAATTCAAAACATATTATACAGTGCAATTTGGACAGCCTAACTCCAAAATATATAATATATATATATATATATATATATATATAAATAACTATAAAAGTATAAATCGTAAATATTAAAAATATTTTTTACAGTATATATAATATATAATAATATAATTAAATAAAAAATTATTCAATACTGGACTCATTTCGAAGGTATTAACGAGACGATTATAATGGTGTAACTTGTTAAAATAAAATTGTATTTTTTAAACATGTTTTAATTAATATACGATTATGTATGTTAATTTGATAAAAGTTTAAAATGAAACATTTAAAAGTAAATGACGTAAAATTAATTAATTAATTATAGAGATATAAAATGTAAATTTAAAATTATAATTTTAAAAAAAATGTATGTGAGAAGATGAGTGTACGTGAGGAGAGGAGGGAGTGAATAGAAAGGGTATTTTGGTCATTTAGAATTTTAAAACTTTAAGATTTTAAGACTTTTGCTAAATTTGTTTAATAAGATAGTATAGATATATCAATATTAAAAAGATAAGTTCCATTTCATAGACTTATCTTTAATTCTACTCTCTTTTTTTATTTGGTGCTTGACTTTAATTTTTTGTAAGGGTGTTTAGGATTGCTTATAAAAACTAGAAGAGTATTTGCATAATGCAGCGAGATACGTCTCAATTTTAATGTTTCGTTTTTTTGTCTCGATCGATGTTATAAGAAATAGAAAAAAAAATATTGATATTAGTATCACAATTACTTTAAAATTTCTTCTTTTTTGAGTATTTATTTAATTCATTTTTTTGGTTTAATAATATAATCTTTTATAAAGATAATAATTAAGTATTTTGTTAGAACACAATGATTATCCTAATTATATTTTTAATTTTTTATTCAAAATTAGATGTTTATCCTCTCTTTAATTATGTTTATCTGCAGTTAGTTACACGAATTCAAATACGAAGTTTTAATAAGTTGTACTAATGCAAAATTTACTTGTAATCTTGATTTTTAGTAATATGCATCAATAAACGGTACTTTATGCATAAAAAATTATTTTTAAGAGATTTTATCAAATGTTTTATAATATAGTATAGATAACTTATTGACTTATTCCGGTGTGTCACCGGTAATAAGCACTTTTGAGTGTCTGGATAAACAACTTATACGGGTGTCAAACCGGTAACAAGGAGTTTTTGATGAAATTAAACATTTCTGATTTATAATAAGTTGATAAGTGTTTTTGTAGAAAAACATAAGTCGTTTCAAATAAGCAATCCCAAAGACCCCCTAAATAGGTATAAAAAATATCATAATGTAATACGTTTTATTACAGTTTTTACTTTGGAGAATGTATTTTAAGTTGCTTGAATAAAGCAATAGAATCAACTATTAATTTGGTCAGCTCAAACTCTTCAAAAGTCGATGCGACTGTTTGATTTGAAAGTCTCATACTAACTCGCTGATAACTATGCAAGTTTAGACAGATTGTCTGACTCAACTAGCTCTGATCTGTCAATATGCCCCTTATGCACAACCATGAGCTCGTATCGCTTTATTTGCATGTGTTCTTTGGTACGTTCCAACTCGCACCTCACTTCGCCTTTACTAGTTCGCTTAATGAGCACAAAAGTCGCTTTCCCTTACCTGCATTTGGTATTATGCTAACTCGTTTTTATCCCACTGACTGTAAATAGAAACAATAAACGTCCTGTTTCTTGACAAAATAATGTGTTAAGGTTCGTAATTTATGTCCCATTTTGTTGATGAACACTTCTATATCAAACATAGGCTATTGATCAGCACTAAAACACGAGTTTAAGTCGACTTCTGACCTTAAATTTTCCGATTCTTGTCTATAAATTGTTGCCCTTGGACTTCTCCATTTCAATGATCAATTTAAAAATTGCGTCATAAAATTTGGTCATTCTTTGAAAAAAATCGCATCACGCATTTATGTGTTACATAATAGGTTAGAATCATCAATTGCAAGCCAGAGTCTACCATTAAGAGGCTCTACAACAAATAACTGAGTGTTATATCAAATTACTTTAATTCATATTTGTTTATTGGATCAACCGTTTGTGATCAGGTTCACACTGGGACCATGACATCCTTTTGACATTTCAATCAACACGTTAAACATGCTTGTTATATTCCATTCCTGCCCCGTAAGTCCTATGTAATCATTTGATTATTCCTATTGTAACTTTGGTATCTAAAATACTATCTGAAAGGATGATTTGGTATCTGAAATACTATGTATATTTCAGATACATCAAAAACACATTTTTATCAATTACGAAGTTAAAACATCATATGCTACAATAACTTTAGAATAAAATGTGACTTCTTAATCAAGATTGATTGACCTACGAAAATAGGTCAGTCAAATTCTTACTTTCGGATCGAGATTCTCCATATTTTATTTTAAGCTACATATCTGATGGTTAACTTCTATTATAAATATAGTTTCACAGCAATTTAAAAGCACTTCTCAAAATCAAGTGGATGCACCTTTCAAACACCTAATTTTTCTCTCTCTTGAAATTATCAAATGAATTGGTACACGAAAAGCCCGCTTAACCCCTAATAGGTCCGGCCCTAACTCGAATCTATTCTTACTTGGAGGGTGTTTGGGATTGCTTATTTGAAACAACTTATGCTTTTTAACAAAAGCCCTTATTCACTTATTACAAGTTAAATGATTTAACTTCTTCAAAAACTCTTTATCACCAGTTTAACATCGGTATGAGTTGTTTATCCAAATATTCAAAAGTGTTTATTACCGGTACCACACCGGAATAAACCAATAAGTTGTTTTTATAAACAATCTCAAACACCCCGTTCAAATGTGCCCATAACTAAAATAGTACCAAAGCTCAAGATTATTAAAATGAAGTCACTTTTAGTTATATATATATATATATATATATATATATTTAAATAGCTTTATTTAGTATAGTGTTAAACCAACCTAATGTATTCTATTAAATATTAATGCTTTCAATAAAAGTCATAGTATTTTATTAATGGTCTTCCAACATTAATTAAGGTTTCACTAATATTTAAAAGTTAATTATTTTAGTTAATGTTTTTATTAAATTAACCAATAATTTCATGGCATTATTTGTCCAAAAATTCTAACATTAAGATGTATAGTATCATAATAGAAACAAGCTATACATACATAATTTACAATAATTTTGAATTTAACTCTAAATGATTTTAATGTGTTTAATAGTTTCGTTTTTTAACGAACGCTTTAAATTACAACGTAAAAAAACCTTACAGATTCAGTATCGACAAAAGCTTTGTTATTTAAGAATTAAATTTACAAATTACAACCACAAGGGTGATGCCTGATTGGTTTGAGCTTGACTCCAAAAATGAAAAGTACCAGGAAATCTCAGGTTCAAATCCAAGAAGGTATAAAAATCCCCTTGTGGCTACAGAGGTTCAAATGCGGTGACTCTGGGCTATCTGCAAAGCACGTGGTCGCCCTGATATTAGTCGGCTCGCATAGCAGGTTGGATATCCAGGTTAATAAAAAAATACAAATTACTGTGACAATGCAATGCAATACTTTTTTGTTCAAGTATAGTATATTTATACTATATTATAAAGCATTTGACAAAAACTCTTAAAAATATTTTTTATGCATAAAATACTGTTTATTGAAACATATTACTTAAAATTTAAATATTACAAATAAATTGTGCATAAGTACAACTTATTAAAACTCTATGTTTGAATTTGTGTAACTAACTGCGGATAAACATAATCAAATAGAGGATAAACATCTTATTTTAAAATATAAAAAATCTAAAATATAATTAGGATAATTATTGAGTTCTAACATAATACTTAATTATTATTTTTTTTTAAAAATATTATTAAACCTAAATTATATTACTTCGTTACGTTAAATTAAATTATAATAAAAATTTTGAATTAAAAAAAATAGTAATTTGATACTAATATTGATATACTTTTTGCAAATTTTAATGATATTTTCAAATTTATATTTTATTCAAAAATAAAAACATATAAAATCGTATTATTCGACATAGGTAAAAAATAAAACGAAACATTGAAATCGAAATGTGTCTCGATGCATTGCACGAGTACCCTTTTAGTTTTTATTAATAAATGTGCTAAAAAACAGAATAAGTCATATCAATATATCAGTAAGTAATAAAATTCAGTACAAAAAGGGGTAAAAGAGGAAAATGAATCGAAGAACTTGAGAACTGGGAACATGTTTGTAGATTGATTGAACTGTCTGATAACACAAGTTTGAAAATTGCGCCTAAAAATTAATTTCACATCAGGTACAATGGAACAACCAGGTAGATGTATTAAATTTTCTTGATTTGATTGTCGTTCTTTTAATTTTG